GATAGGGGAGTCCCAAGCAGCAGCTTAAATTGCTCACCTCATGTGCCCAGAGGAAGGTGCAACTTTGATAAGGTGGCCTGGGAAGGTCTTTCCTCTGTGAGTCATTTGAAGACTGAGATGAGGATGGAGTATCTCAGGGGAGACCAGTGTGAGGGAGGTGAGGCTTAGAGAGGGATGAGGCCCCAGAGTCAGCCAAGGACACAACCACGTGGGGTTCTGCAGGTCACAGAAGTTCTGCCTAGGTGAGAAGGAGTCAATATCATTGGGACAATTTCATCCTTAATGACAAGAGATTAGGCACAAGATTTCTTGAAGTTTTTTTTACTTTCTAATGAGGTCTTTGTAGGAAAGAGTAGTCAGTCATGTTTTAAGCAATGTTCAACAGACTTTACAGATCCTTGCAGGAGCCTCTCCCCCTTCCCCAGTGTCTTTCTATCTGTCTCTCTCTCCGCCCTCTCATTCTGGAGGTGCAAATTTCCTGAAATCTATTCCATCTCCCCCCACAATGGAAGACACTTTCAGGGAACAATCAAGAGGGCTCTTCATGTCAGAAAATGTGCAGTGTAAGGCCTGACTTTGAAACATGTTTTTAATAATAGCTTTACAATTAAAGCTACCTTGGAGGCTAGTGACAGCAAACTTGATATAAAAGCGATAAAACACTATCGATCCAGAATTAAGTACATTAGAGATGCTTCCTAAATGACTGGTTTGGTATCTGATTCTCACTAGGATTATATTAAATCAAATATTCTAGGATATTTGTGTAGCTCTTTGTTTGTTTCATTTGCTCCTAAAGCAGTCTCAGGGATCATGTTACAAGACTTACAGGCATTGTGATGCTAAATCTCAAATTATATGTGATGTCCTTGATTTGAGTTATTCTGTCCTACACATTCTGGAACAAGTTATCAAATTTTAGGTTCAAGAGAGCCACTCTATGCCTAAAGTTGAATTTTGTTTTATGGTTCTACTGAGGACGGAATTCAATTAAACTTTTATTAGACTAGCCAATAAAAAAATTTGAACCGCCGGTGAATATGATGGAGTCACCTTCACAGGCTTACTGTAAAAGAATGAAAGCACTGGTGAGTTTCCAATACGTCGCTTCCTCTCTGAGGTCTTTCCTCTCTGTGCCCCTGCCCTTCCTTCACTGTGTGCTGCCCTCTCCTACCTGGATACCTGTCACAGCACATGGGTACTGTGCAGAGGTTAATGAGGGGCTTCAAAAAGTTCACGGAAAGATGGAATTATGGATTCTCATGGAGCTTTTGGAAGCCCCCTGGCAAATGTTTAATCACCAATGCTCCTGCCCCCATCTCCCACTCTGTGGGCTCCTGTAGGATCCTCTGTTTTGAGCAATCCCAAGTTCCTTACACAGTGCCCACATATACCATGATAGGCATTTGGTTTGATCCAGCAAAAGGAATGAATACAAATATAAATTAGTTTTGTTTCAAAGTTGAGATTTACTTGATGGAGAAAGGAAGATTTAAGATTCTCCCTTTAGGCATATTTATTTGCATTTAAATAGAAGGCTAGACATCAAGGAAGCTTTTACCAGCACAAATAGGTCCTTTTGTAACAAATTCTGAGTTTGATAACACCATGCATTTGGCTTTAAATTATTCTAGCATTAAATTGTTTTATTTTATAAAGAATAGCTTTTTTAAAGGAGTCCTATCAGATAACAATTTCCAAATGGGCTCAAACATAGAGCAAAGCCTGAGGGATGGAATGTGATGCCCTACTTTGTTTTATGCACATGGTGTAAGGGCCCAAGAGGCAAATCCAGAACAGCCCAGCTTCCCCCAGCTCATTCAGTGTCAAAGGAGCAACAGGAGCCATGAGTATAGCAAGTGGAACCTGGAAACTCCTCAAAAGCAGGCCCAAAGAAACCTGGTCAGTGCTTGACTAACTGCAAGAATCATCTCTCATTTGGTAGAAGTGGACACCAAAGCAGGCAGTCATTACTTGAAGTACCCTTTATGTGCACAGACTTTTCCAGCCATCTCAGTCTTTCAGAGGGTAAGTAAATGCTTCAAAACCAGTTAAAGGGGCTTTCATGTAGCGTATACATAAACTTTATTATATTAACAATCACTGCAGGTTCTTTGATTATGTGCCACAAAATGATGCAAGGATCGGTGAAATGCATATATATATCATTCACATATATATGAATGAATATTCATGAATATGAATATATATATATAAAACAGGTATAGTTTCTGCCCTCAAAGCCTTCCCATAATAGTGAAAGAAGCAGATATCCACCAAACCATAGCTAACAAGTTCATACGAAATATATGTAACACAAAAATACGTAAAACTGTGATGAATTAAACGGAGCTTCAGATTAGAGAAGGCTTCTTGAAGGGGGAACTATTTAAAGTGAGGCATGAAGGAGAAGGAGGAAAAAGCAGATCGGGTATGTCTCCATGTGTGTAAGTTGGCAAGGCGTCTGCAAGGGCAAAGGTGTGATGGTCAGACAGGGGAAGCGTGTAAACAAAGAAGGGGGAAAGAAGACGAAAAATACAGAAAGAGGTCCGAACAGGCACATTTTCACAGGCCTCATGAAGAAGGCTGGCCTTAGGAACAACGTCAAGTCAGAAGTCACAGGTGAGTCAATATTCAGAAGGGTCAAGTGGTAGGATGAGCTACTTTTAAAGGAAAACAGTGAAGGGAGGGGAAATGGTGCGGATGGAAGAGAAAATGTCTGAGCCTATGGAACTGTATTATGAAAAATAAAAACAAAACAACACAACATAACACAACAAAAAGAATATTCTGGCTGCACTGAAAAAGATTTGTAAGCGAGCCCAAATGGGTTCAGTGGAATCCATCTGAGGACATTTTAGGAGTGGAAAAGAGATGACAAAGATTTAGATAAGGACAGCTGCAGGGGTGCTTGTGTGAGTGGTTGGATTCAGGGCCTGTTTTAGAGTTAACAGAACTCCCAAATGAATTGAATTGAGGGTATGAGCAAAAGAATTGGGCATTGGTGACTTGTGACTTTCCAGCGTGGCAACTCCAAGAGGGAAAGGGTGGCACAGAAACCAGGTCTGGAGAAAGACGGAGAGGAATTCAGCTTGGGACGTGCTGAGTTCCCACCCAGCCAGCTGTGCTCAGGTAAGCAAATGAGATCAATGAATAGGGAGTTCAGAAGAGTATGAGCCAGAGAAACAAATGTGAAACTCTCCAACATTTGGATGGTGTTTCTGAGACTACCTACAGCTAAGTAGAAAAGGTTAAGAGAAACCAGGTCCTGGTGCGGGGGCTTGAGGAAAGTGGATGTGAGAAGATAATTCCACCCCGTAAAGTTGAGGAAAGGTGACAGGAAGGAAAAGAGAAAAAGCTTCAAGGAGAAGGCTGCTAAAAATGAGTGTTGCTGCAAAGTTGAGAAAGATGAACTAGCAAAAATCCCTTAAATTTCTTTACATAGAGGTTATTAATAACTGCCATGAAAACCACTTCAATATGTCAAGAGCAAAGGCCATATTGGAGCGTACGGAGGAGTGAGTGGGGCAGAACGAAACTGAGATACCAAGTAAAACAGCAACAACTTTTTGGAATAATTAACTCAAAGAAAGAAGAGGCTACTAACCAGTGGGAAAACTGGAATCGAGGGAGAGTAGTTGGTTTTAATGCCAAGTTGAGCCCATTTTGATCATCATTAAGCATGTGATTGAAATGTAGAGATTGAAGATAATGTAAAAATGAAAAAGCAGTATTGTTTCTGAGCTGGCAGAAAAATTGCAACTGACAGTACAATGAACAAGGTCAGTCAGGAAAAGAAATACAGTCCCTACTGTTATAGGAAAGACAAGAGGGGGGTGGTACAGGTTAGTCTGGAAGTTTGGCAATCAACCTAAATATGAAGTTAGTTGCAAAAGGTGATGTCTGGGTGCTCTAAAGGACTTGATAGTGAAAGAATACATTGCTATTTTAATGTTAGCTATACTGAAATCTTGCAGGAAAATTCCCAGTCTATAGTTTTTCGATTTCTAATGGTTTTCAAAAATTTGTTTTGATAACAGGCTTTCAAAGCTTATGTTATCTTTTGTCACAGAGATTTTTTCCAACTTTTGAAAGTTAGATTAGCTCAAGTTAAATTTACAGACAACGAAATTGTTAGTCACTCTTTCAAAATTCATAATGCTGTGGGTTGTACAACCATCACCAAAATAAAGAGATAACGACCCTGTGCATTTTCTTTTCGTTTCTTTGTTACAAATTCCCTCCCCCATCAGCAGCCTTGGGGACCACGCATCTGACTTCAGTTCTAAAACTTTTGCCTTCAACAGAATGGCGTATTATTGGAATGTGTAGGATGTAGCCTTCTGTACCTGGCATCTGTCACGAAGCACGCAGCTTCTGAGAGCCATCCAAGTTGTCTGATGCATCGATAGTTCATTCCACTTTTATTGCCAAGTACGACTCCATGATATGGCTGTATCACAATTTGTGCAACTGCTTGCTGATTGAGACACTTTGGAGTGGTTTCCAGTTTGAAGAGATAATGAGTAAAGCTTTTATAAACATTCATGTATAGTTCTGTGTAGTGCTGTATTTTCATTTCTCACATATTAGGACCTATAAACAGGATTGCTGGATTTAAGGCATTATGGTGAATGTTACGAGAAACTACCAAGTTGTTTTTTTCAAAGCCAACTTTTGGTGGGATATAGCATGTTACATTCCCACCAACAATATACATGTGTCAGCTGTTTCTTACTGTCACTCGCACGTGCCATAGCCAGTTCTTAAAAGCTTCTATCAAGTACAGAGCAACATGTTATCATTCTCTCAATTCTGTTCTTCTGGGTTGCTAATGATGCTGAGGGCTCATGTCCTTCTTTACTTTAGAATGTCTTCTGATATCATATCTGCTCATATCTGTTGTCCACATTTTGTATCATGGATTCTTTGTGATCATTTGTAAGTATTCTAGATATATAATTCCTTTCTCATGTATGTATTTTGATAGCATTTTCCCCTAGTCCGAGGTTTGTTATTAACTTTCTAGTGTCATCCTTATGCACAGACGATGCTAACCTGCTCTGTATTGTTCCAGTTTTAGTGTACGTGCTGTCGAAATGAGCACTATTTAATTTTCTAGTGAAACAGCAGATGGGAGACCTTCTCTCTCTCTCCTTTTTTTTTGTTAAATCTACCTTTCCAAAAAATGAGAAAGAAGAAAGAAAAGAACAAAATAAAAGAGAGGTGGGGTAGTCCTAACATGTATGGCCTGGATCTAGTTTCCTTATTAAATTTTTTTTGCCCAACAATCTTTCAAAGAGAAGCTATTTCACATAGTGTGGAAGCTCAGTTTATCTTCTTTTTCTCCTATCATTTTGGGTTTTTTTTTATATCCTAATAAATCTTTGCCTAATATAAGGTCACATAGATCTCTTATTTTTTTTTTAATTTAAGAGCTTTATATTTTAGGATTATAATCAATCTCAAATAAATTTTTTTGGGGGGGCGTGGTATAAGGGGATGGGTTGATTTTCACTTGCAAAGTTATTTTATCTATTTTAGGTCCTTTGCATTGCTGAGAATTTCAGCATCAATTTGCCATTTTACTCCCCCCACCACACACACAACCTACTGAAGTTTTTATTAGTACTATGTGAAATCTATAAAATAGGTTGGGTAGAACTAATATTTTAGCATCAAAAAAATCCAATCTATTAAAACAGAATCTCTTTCAATTTATTTTTTGTTACTTTTATTACTGATGTTTTACAGTTTTAAGCAGAAATATGGAATGTATTTTCCTAGATTTATTTCTAAGTATTTTATACTATTTGATGCTATTTTAAGTGGTGTTAGTTTTAAATTTAAGCTTTTTATTATGCATTGTTAATATAAAGAGATTTGTATACAGACCTTATATTCTAAAACTCTCATAAATTTGTTTAGTAGTCTTTTAAAGTAGTTTCTCTGTCATTGTCAACATAGAATTCAGGTTATCTGTGAATAAAGTTAGCTTTATTATTTCCTTTCCAATGATCTTTACATCTTACTTATTTTTCTTGGCTATATTATAATTATGATATCTTTTAACATTGATTACAAGTGTTAAGAATCTTTGTTTTGCTTCCAATTTTAGGGAAAAGGATGCGTTCTTTCACCATTAATTGTTTGTATGTATGTGTATGTATTATTGAGCCAAATTTGCATTCCTCAAATAATCCCCACCTGGTCATGATTTAGTACCATTATTATATTTTGTTGGACTTGATTTGAAAATAGTTAGGGATTTTTGTTCATGGGGGCTATTAGTTGGAAGTTTTCTTATCTAGTGTTTATTTGCCTTTTAAATTATGGCACTGCTAGACTCCTAATGTGCTTTGGAGGGTGCTTCTTTTCTATTTGCTGGGAAAGCCTGCATTTATTTGGTATTATTTATTTCTTAAATATTTGGGAGAACTTGCATTATACCATTTGGACCTAGCATTTTCTTTGTTGGAAGAGTTTTCCTACAAATTTAATTTCTTCTATAGATACAGGATTATTCTGGTATTCTATTTTTCCTGGGTGAAATATGATAATCTATATCACTTATGAACTTATTAATTGTATATAAGCTGTGGATATACTGTCATGAGTTTTTCATAATATTTTAATGAATATTTTAATTAATATTTTTCATAATATTTTAATGTCTTTTATTTCTACACTGTCTACTATTATTATCTGAGTCCAAAAACGAGAGTGAAATGAGGTGATGCGGCTAAGTGAGAAGATAAATGCAGCCAGTCTACCCACAGTAAGCCTGAGCACAGAAAGATACAATCCTGTGGCTACAAACCCTTACTTACTGCAAGTCAGATAAGAGACTCTCCAAACTAACCCTTTGGCTTCAGTGTTGTATGACTTTGATCCCAGACACCCCAAAATCTTCAGGTTCATGTTTTCTCTAAAAGTGTCACAATTCAGCCTGTATGTTATTTTTCTTTTTCAGGTTAAGGTCTGGGCACTTCTTAAACTTCCTTTCTCAATCTCCCACTTTCTGATGGCCTGTTTGAAAGTCTTCATTATCTCCCTCCTTTATCTCTTTTACATTAGATGCCATCCATCATGGTGACCCCCGACTGAGCCTTCACTAGTCCTCTCAGATAGTTTTTCCTCCCCAGACTTGCTCCCTTCCCTCTTCATTGCTGCAAACACCATGATAATAATTCATTGATTTTTCACTCTAGCCATTTGTGTCCATTATTATCAGCACAGCAGTCCTAGAAAACCAGCCATCACATAAGTTCCCTCATGGTCCCCTTACTAACACTAGAACTCCTGCGCTCTTCTTCTCTTTGCGCCTTCTGCTCTTGACATGCTGGATAGGTGGGGATTTAGCGTGTGTACCATGCCTCTCGCTCGCTGACTAGGTGAGCTCCAGGAGGGCAAGGATTTGGTTCTCTTCTATGTGTTCAGCACCTAAAGAGCACAGTCAACACCAACTGTGTGAACTCATGATTCATGACATTTTCATACCACAGCAAACGTGCTAGTCACCACTAAATAAAACACCTGCTCCTGTACACGGGGAACTCGCAGCCCGTCCTGAGGTCACCATGGATCTAACTGTCCAGCCCTGTTCTCCAATTTTCAGATGAGGAGCTCAGAATCCCACCAAGCCAGCTTCCACTCAGACCCTTGGTTGGTGCTTGGTATGTGCAAATCCCCATGCTGGTCTCTTATTGCTTTCCCCTCTCTTTTCTTTCCCCATTACACTCCTTTCTCCTTTCTCAGCATCTTTGTCACAATGGTGCCTGCTTTCTCTTGGCATTCTTTAACTTTTATTTAGCCTACTCTGTGAGTGGAACCTGCGTTCACTTCCCTCATCCCTGAATTACTCGACCATGACATAATTTTTTGATCAGCACAGATAGAGAGTAAATATTGCATTAAATCGCATGAAAATTGAAAAAGCACAAAGCTGAAAAGAACGCAGAGATAACATTTGTGTCTCTTGCTGTCCACGAGGCCAAGCAAGTCTAGAGCTCTAGTAGAAAGGTGATAGAGGTATAATTAGAATGTACTTAAAGTTGTACACGTTTCTGAGCCCATCCATTCTTCCTACTGACATGGGAGCTTCAAAGATTCAGAGAAAATACACAGTATAAAAAATATACATGGATACTATTTTTGCACTATAATATAAACATTTTTCCCCATTAAGGACTTCTTTAAGTTATCTGATATATGCATAATTGTTGCATAAAACATGGATATATGTGTGTTTATGTAAAGTTTTCTTGATAAAACTATAACCCCTTAATAACTTTTTGTATCTTATACTTCTGAATGCTCGAGAGCATCTATTACCATTGTTAAACAATTAGCAGGTGCTCAGTTAATGCATGCTATGGAGTTAACTGATTTGGATGAGCTTTTTTTTTTTGTTAGAAAAGGATCCAGATATTTGAATGTATCTAAGTACTTTAGACAAAACTGAATTCATGAAATATGATTTAATTGCATGTCAGAAGTAAAATAGCTGAGAACATATATATACATATGTTTATATATATGTATATATATATATATATACACACACATATATGTATATATATAAACTCTATTCCACTTGCTGTCATGATTCCATACCAGCCAAGGAACTATACATTTAATGTTTTAAAAGAAGAATAAAGATGCTTATTTGGAAAATCAATAACGATCAAATCTTCATCCAAGATGGTCTGTATAAACATTAACTTGGCTCTACAGCTTTTAGCCAGCTGTCTCTCTTCAAAAATTTTCAGGCAAAAAAAGGAAGCTAAAAATATCACAGTAACTGGAGGCTGACATCTGAAATCTTCAATTAAAGCACCCAAGTCAATGCAACAAATATTTACATTGAGAACTGAAATGTTGGGAAATGGTTCAAAAAATGAGATCGGACTGGATATTAACAGACCCTTCCAAACTGCCCCCTGTGTGCTACTCTGTCCCCTGAATATCTGCTTTCTGACATTCTTCAGGAGGACCCCTGACAGGAACGGCCTGGGGCCGCAGCAGGAAAACAAAGGAACAGGGATGTGGACCAGCATGCTGCCAGGCTATGGGGCTCTTTCTCTCTCCAACACCAGGACCTGGAGTGTTTGGGTGCAGCATGGAGCCTGCAGCTCATTCACATTCCTGAGGAAGTGTTCAGGGACCCTAGAATTCAAAAGATGTGGCCGTTAAGACTTGGGTCAGGATACAAGCAGTGTCACCAAAGGGACGCATTTTAATTTATCCCTTGCACTTCATGCTGATAAGAGACTTGGATCTCTTGGAAATACAGGTTGTATTTTGTCAAGATAATAACGGCACAACTCAGTTAACAGCATTATTACAAAAACAAAAAAACCCAAATTTATTCTTTGGATAATGCTTATTGTCAGTGTAAACAAGCAACAAATTTACAGGATTGTTGGGAAACCCCGTGCTTTGCTTTGGCAGAGGGGATGTGGTTTGCAACATTTCTTCTCCCTAAATGCCAATCAAAAATCACTAATAAAACACAGTGTTAATACCCATTACACAACATTACTCAACATCTCCCCAGCCCTCCCTCCCCCTTTCCTTCTTCTCTTGCCAGCAGAGAAGTCATCCATGAACCAACAGAAATCTATCCAGGACCTAAGTGCTCTTCAGTATTTTCAAATCTATTATCATAATTTCATTTCTCCCAAATATATCCACCAAAACCTTGTAAATGAAAAACATTGACTGTTCTTTGAATAACTTGTAGCCAGAAAAATTCATTTATGCCATAAACAATTAGTAAAATATAAAAGATAAACATTATGTGATATTGAATATAAGAGAACAAAAGAAAGTTTTTGTATTATTATTGTTTCTTAGAATTCATGGCATTTTCCTTTCTGACGGCGTACATATAATCTGTGGTTGCTAAGAAGTAGATCTGCAAAATGCCTTTATTTCATCTTCCCATTGGAATACTGTCTTCTTAAAAGCACTTTTTATTTTACTTTCTAGTACTAGAGGTTTTGGTTTCCAGAGATTCTGATGAGAAGGCTGTTCTAATTCATATTTACAGTAATTGTTTTCTCACCAGTAACTTTTGGGGTTCTTTCCTGTGTCTTGAGGTTCCAAACTTTTCTACAATACCACAATATGGCTTAGCACTTGGTGGCTCTTTCATTTCTAAAGTCTTATGGCCTTTTATTAGTTGGAAATTCTCACTTATTATTTATTCAACAACTAACTCCCTCTATCATCTCTATTTTCTCCTCCACAAATTCCCAGGCATTAGATATTGGTAGCTCTAGAAACATTCTGCATTATCCATTCCTGCTATTATTTTACTCACTTAATTAAAAATTCTTTAACATCCACATAAAAATTACAGATATATATGACTTACCATGTGCTATTTCAATACATGTATAGATCATATGTTCAAACATGAAGCATCTCTTTGTGGTGAAAATAGCCAAAACACTGCCTTTCAGTTTTTTAGGTGGAAAGCTGTATGGTACATTAATGCCTTCTGTTGTATTAGAACCCCAATATTTCCTACTCTTGTTACAATGTAATATTGTTTATTCAACATTTCCCCACATGTTCACCCCTCCTTTCCTCTGCAACCTCATCTGACTTCTAAGACACCACCTTTGGCTTTTCCTTCTTTCTTTCTTTTAGGTTCTACACATGAGTGAGATAAAGAAAACACCACACTCATTCCAGGCCATAAAATGAAAAGAATGATGAAAGCAACATGGATAGAACTGGAGGACATCATGTAAGGAATTAAGGTAAGCACCCAAACACAAGCACCACATGTCTTAGGCTCTCTATCTGATATTGTGGAAGAATTACCTGACCCTTGGCCCTGCTCTTCCAACATCACTAATTTACCTCTAACTTTGTTGTTTTAAGTCTGCTATTGAGCCATCCATTAAGTATTTAACAACAGCAATTATGGGATCTCCTCCTAAACTTTAGATCCTATTCTTGTTTCAAGGACATAATACCATATTTTATTTTTCTAAAGATATGAATCATTCTTTTCTTGTAAAAACACAATCCAGAGGCCTGGTGAATCATGCATTTATGTTCTTGTCTTTCCTTGACTGCTGGCAGTCCTCACGGATCTGTGTTTGATCAACCTTGATGGCGAGCCCATCTTTTCTAGACTCGGCAGTCTCAGCATGGGCAGCCAGCCTGGGATGAAGAGGGGCTGAAACAGCCATGCGTGCATGCTCTGTGTGGTTTTTGGAAAGAAGTGGGCAGTGGGCTGAGCTGAAACCAGGGGTTGATCGGCAACTTCCTGAGCTCTTCCCTCTTTCCCATCCCAGCCTTTGGGAATGACGACAGCCCAGGTGTTCATAGGCCAAATGGTTCCTATTACAACCACTCAACCAGATGCTCCTGGACTATTCCCGGCCCTCTCCCACTCCAGGGTTCCACTGTTTCTAGGTATGGAGCCTCACTGTGAAATGCTGTTTTCAGGCAGAGTTACACATTTGTGCATTCCACCAACCTCTAGATCTGGTGCAGTAGAAGGAACCTACAGCATATACTTGCTGAGTCTGCAACCAACAAATTCAGAATTTCACCCTTAAATCCTGAGAGTTCAGAGCATCAAACAGGATACACAGAAAAAACTGGAGAAAACATGAGTGTGTAATTGAAATGCTGCTCTGACATTCACATTTCTACTCTTCAGTTAAGACTCTAGACAAAGAAACTGCATCCCCTGACTCCATTAATGAGTGGCTTCCTTGGAGAATGAGAGGCACTCATGGAAGACTGGATGGGAAGAACCAGGACAAAGATATTCCCCATCAATACTGAAAATAGCAAGTGTGGCTCTTCAGCCACAGCCTGGATTGCGTGGGTCAGCTCCAGCTCTTGGGTCTTGATAACATCTTCTCCCACGGTCCCTCCAGTGCTGGGCCTGCAGGAGCTCCTACTCTTAGTGATATGGCAGGGGAGAAGGGGCTGTTGCATCAGTCTCTATTTGGCTGCTCAGCATTTTCTGGGTAATCCACTTCCTATTTCAAATTCCTTTCTGAACGGCCTGGAATGATTGTGTATTCCTGGCTGGATCCCGACATAAACATATAAATTCTGAAGAAATATTTCCAAAGATGGTAATTGGGAATACCTTTATTTGGGTATGTGTGGAAGGAAAAGAGCTTCACAATGAGGGGATTCTTGGCTTTTCATTCTCAATATGCAAGCTATCCCAGGTAATTTTTAAGGAATAGCATAAAATTTTTTCAAAAAATATGCCACCAGGCAGTTTTGTAAGGCAAGCCTTAGGTGCCTATCACATTAATTCAACAGAGGACTTTACCAGAAAGCATCACAACCCTGGAGGAATGGAAGCTCTGAGGCCTTGCTTAAGACTTCTCCATCATTAGGCACACCTTGGGGGGTAGCCTTCTAGAAACCTACCATCATCACCTCTTCTTTCTTTACTGTGTTCTCTGTTAAGAAGGCCCATCAAATGGCTGATCACCTTAAGAAAAATCTTCCCTGTTACACTTCTTATTTGGAAGCAGAGCATGCCACTGCTTTCTAAGCCTGATTGCATTCATAAGGTGCTATAACTTCTTAACGAGCCACACAGAAAAAAGTGTACCCTAAATCCCCACTACCACCTCCTGCCCCCGGGGTTCCCAAACAGAGGGAGGAGGGCCACGTTTGTGTTAGTGATGGGGCCCCTGTGGCTGCAAATCCAAAGGCTCTGACAGAAGCCAGACTTGTGTGAAACTCTCAATACTTGCTTTCATTCCCGGGGTGAGCCCTTGAACTCTAATAAATGGGTCATCTATTTATGAAAGGAGAGTGCTTACTTTGGCAAGGGATAAATGGGTGCTTACAGCAAGATGCTGTTCACACAAAGGATGTTGTTGGAACTCCTCTCAGTTCTGAGCACTGCAGTTTAGGAGGGTTAGGGGCATATGTGCGGGTGTGCTTTAAAATTGCAGGACTATTATACAATCCCTTTTCTTTATCTGGCACGAGAAGGATATTCCCATTTTGTCTACAAGCTGTGCTTCACTTCCTCAAAGCTGAGGCGGCAAAAACACTGCCAGTCCCTCTCCAGCTTCTCATGGAAAGCCGCCATGCTGAACTGGCGCCTCCAGGCAGTCTCAGACTGTCCCGGGACAACCTCAGGCTTTGAGGTGAATTCAGAACTATCGGGGCCAACAAAGAAGTTCACACACTTTCGCTGTTCAAGGAAGGGGTGGAGTTGGGAGGGCGAAGGTGGGGGGTTGGGTGGAGGGTAGGGGAAGGTCTGCAGCCTTACTGTTGGAGCTCTGCCTCTGTGAGCGCTTCTGTCCTCAGCTCCCCGGTGACAATGGCCAGTTCATCCTTCAGTTCCTGGATCTCCTTTTGGAGGCGGATAATCATCTACAAAGAGCAAGGCGGCAGAATAAATGTCAGCTTTCCACCGAGGTGGGAACGTGCTGGCAGAGGACATGCAGCTTTTCAAACCACCAACTACTTGAATGATATCAAAAGCAGCCTTCTGCCCACCAGAAAGCTTTTGAAATCTTAATATTTTGGTCAAGATAGCTCCAGAATTCTTATTTTTTTAAAAACAAATACAGCCTTACTAATGTAACTGGAACCCCTTTTTCCTATTTCCCTTCCGTTCTTCCTGGGGTGATCACTTCCCTGCAGGCTTTCATACATTGGCACCATTATATATGCTTGAACTTTTAGAGAGAGTATGGTATCATGTTGCATGCCTTAAATTTTATGTAAATGTTACATTACACGTGTAACTGTGACTTTCTTTTTTTACCTTCATGTTATGTCTTTGAGCTTATTTGTATTGCCTCATGTGGCTCCAGTTCATTAATTTTCATGGATATAGAGTATTTCAGCATAGGAATGTATCATAATTTGTTTAGCTATATCTTCTGTTGATGGACATTTAGAATTTTCACTGTTGCTATTAAGAATTTCTGTGAATGTCATAAATTTCTCTGGGCATCAATGTGAGAATTTCTGCATTGTGTGCTCCTTGGTAGTGGAGTGTTAACATCTTGCTTTCATGAAACATTATTAAATCAGTCTTTGGAGAAGTTGAACAAATCTCTCTGCCCATGAGCTGCACATGTAGATATAGGTAAGTCCCTGTTTCCTCACATTTTTGCAACTGTGTAAAATTGGAAGCCCTTTAATTTTGCCAGTTTAGTAGGTATACAATTACATCTCCTTTTAGTCCTGATTTGCATTTTTATGATAGTAGATTGCTCATATTTACATATGCATATTAGCTGCATGAGCTGCTTCTTGTGGGAATCATTTGTTCACATTCTTGCTCATGTTTTCAGTGACATGTTTTTCTTTTCTGGATGGATGCGGCTCTTTTCTTAGTTTTATACTAATGTACCCATTTTCTCCTAATCTATGTCATGGTTTTCATTCTGTGGTGTTCTTTTTTGTTAAATGAAACTTCTGAGTCTTAATATAATCTAATTAGGAATTTGTTCCTTTTTTTTTTAAAGATTTATTTTATTTTTATTTGAAATGCGGATATACAGAGAGGAGAGACAGAGAGGAAGATCTTCTGTAGGATGATTCATTCCCCAAGTGAGCGCAAAGGTCAATGCTATGCCAATCCGAAGCCAGGAGCCTCTTTCTGGGTCTCCCACGCAGGTGCAGGGTCCCAAAGCCTTGGGCTGTCCTCGACTGCTTTCCCAGGCCACAGGCAGGGAGCTGGATGGGAAGCTGCGCTGCCGGGATTAGAACCGGCACCCATATGGGATCCCGGGTGTGCAAGGCGAGGACCTTAACCACTGCGCCACCGCGCCAGGCCTAGGAATTTGTTCCTTTTTGTGTCATGCTTTTGCATTATCATTAAAAAAGTCAAAGCTTTCTTTTTCACATTTAGGTGGATTTTATTTTGTACAAAGTATGGGATAGGGATCACACTTTACTTTTTATATAGCTAACTGTATGATATTTGTGTTTATAATTACATTATATAAATATGTTTCTACACATATGTGTATTTCTGGGCTACTGCTTGAAAACATATGTCTATATGCTTTAATTACTCTTAAGCACTTTTGGTATTTAGACAAGACAAACTTCCTCCTTCTTGTTCCTATTTAAGATCTACCTGCCTGTTTTTGGTCATTTACTCCTCCATGTATATTTTAGTAACAACTCATCAAATTCTAGCAATGGCTTTTATTTAATTTTAACTGAGATTAAAATTAGTTAAAATGTTAGTGTAATAAATCTTACCAAATTATAGTATTGAATCATCTCACCCATAAATATGGATTTCTTTGGATGGGAATTTAGAATTTTATCTAAAAATATATTTCTATGATTAGACAGTATATTGTGACTTTGCTTTTGTTACAAATGGAGTTTTTGTAAAGTTAGGTTTTCTGATTGTTGGGTTCTGGTATATGGGAAGGCAATATATTTCTATCTACAGTTGATATACCAAATAATTCTCTGAACTTTTTGGGTCTTGTTTTATTATTTAATACCATGGAGACTGGCATTGTGGCACAGGGGTTAAGCCACTACTTGTGATGTTAGCCTCCCACAAGGGAGCATCCTTTGGAATTCAAGCGGTTCTGCTTTTGATTCGCAACTCCACTAAGGATCTTGGGAAAGCAATGATAGATGACCCAAGTCCTTGGGCCCCTGCCACTCAGGCGGGAGACTCTGATGGAGTTCCTGGCCCTGGCTTCAGCCTAGATCATTGTGGACAAATATTTGGAGAGTGAATGAGAGTATATCTCTGTCCCCATGTCTCTATCTCCTCATTAATCTGTTTTTCAAATAATTAATCTTTTAAAAATTATCTGCAGGTAATGGCATGTTTTTCTTCTATTTTATTTATTTAGCACATTTTGCTACCTAGATCTTTAAAGTATAACTCTGAAGGCATTCCTGTATTATTTCGTCTAACATTTTACCTTTAAAATCATGTTTACTGGGGCTAGTATGGTGCCATATCAAAGTAACCCTCAGCCCACAGTGATGGCATCCCATATGGCCAGTTCTAGACCTGGATGCTCCATTTTTCCCTGCTAATGGCCTGAGGAAGCAGCAGAGGATGCCTCAAGTACTTGGGACCCTGCTCCCACACGGGAGACTCAACAATTTCCTGGTTCCTGGTTTTGGATTGGTTCAGCTCCAGCTGTTGGGGCCATTTGGGGAGTGAACTAGCAGATGGAAGATCTTTCTTTCTCTGTCTCCTTCTTTCTGTAACTCTGCCTTTCAAAATAAAAATAAGGACAAATCTTTTTAAAATGATGTTTACTGGAATTTTAGGTGATAGCCTTAGTTTAAAGATACATACTCATTGTCATAATTTGCTAAATCTTTTGAAAGTATGAATAAATGTTTAATGTTATCAGATACTGTCTCTGCAAACAGTAAAGGCAAAGAATCACATTAACCAATGTGGTTATTTCTTAGTATGATTTCAGATACACCAAACAGTACAGAACATTCTGTATCTCCCTCCTAACACCATGTACTTGCTGCTTGAGGAATAAAACAGTAACACCTCACTGAAATCAGTGCCTCACATAACCTTTCCGAAAGAATTTTCCCATTATGGCTACCCTAAATTTGATTTTTAACTTCTCCTGTTTTGCTACTATGTATTCACATATTTTCTAGTGATGTGTAACCCAAAAAAACCCAATGAGGTTAGGATACTATATACCAGAATACTGCTGAGACCACGTGGATCTCAGGATCTAGGACTTTTATAAACACATCATAAAGCAAAATTCCAAGATAAAAATGAGCAGTCTAAACCCAGCTTTTTTATTCTTTTGCATTTAAAATGTAAAACAAAACACCAGATTGAGTTTTGATCTATCCTTTCTTCCCCTCCCCTCCCCTTTCCTGCCTCCCTCTGTCCTCGTCTTTCTTCCTTTGCTCTTCTGCTTCTCTTCATCTCGCTTTGCTACCTTTGTTCATTTTTCTAACTTTTTTTTTTTTTTTTTGCTTTGCATTTACCAGACTAAGGGGCTCTGTAAATGGGAACTGTGAAACCCAGGGCTTCACATTTTCAGAGAAACCACTTTTTATTCAATCTCAAGCCTAACAATCTGGAGCAAACAAACTGTCCTAATAGTTCCCTGTGACAGAGGGAAGACATTTCCCCTGTTTCACACTGAGCAGAGGAAAGCTTGTTTTCAGGGCAACACTCACCTTGCTAAGTCTCTGGGCTCTGACTGCCATCTCTTTGCTCTAATGCCTTTGACCCTGGATGCTGGGACAACTTTAGCATCAGCTCTGTATCTGGAAAATGTCCTTACTTTTTTTTTCAAACTCGTGTGAATATTTAAAGGATGCTTGTACACAAACCCTTTTTTATCAGCAAGTTTCAGGTTATTTGGACCACATCAACAGGAACACGTGCGTACAAGAAAACATGATACTGAGTGTTTTGAACATGCCATTGCTCCTGGGAATTGATTTAAATGGATAGGATTTGTAGGTTTTGTTTCCTTACTACTTTTCCAAAAACAAAACAAAACAAAACTCTCAGAATCACCAAGGTAGGCAGAATAAAACTCTTTAGATCAAAACTATGAAACTCATTCATTTGCACCCTCTCTTATTAAATGAATATTAATGTGTATTTTCTATTTTTGCTAAGGCCTTCCAAGTCAAATCTAACACCAATTTTTGTAATCATGTAGTTTTGAGTATAGACACCCCTCTATCAGTCCTCTCTCCGAGGACTCCGGAATTAGGGCCATCTTTACAAGATTTCAGCACATGGCCAGTAGTTGGGGGATGGCGGGGGCGGGGTGCAGCTCACAGTGCTTCCTGGACCTCATCAGACTGAGGTCACTGACACGTGAAGAGGAAGCAGGGCAGATCTTTGGTGACCATGGCTACACGGGCTGACTTCATGGCCACCACTGAATTTTGAGAGGGAGATATAAGAAGGCCCACCAAGTAGTGTGTTGGCTGGCTCTGAGGATCAGTTAACTGCTGTGTTTCGGTGGAGTGCTGCACACAATCGTGAACCACAACATCAATCTTCGGGAACAATTAACAAAAAGACCAGGGAACAGCACTTGAGCATTGCCAGGTTATTCTTCACCAAAAGACCTCAGAATTGATTAAACCCTCAGCTATTAGCTTTCAACTCTGATTTTGTCTGAAGTCTCTCCTAGACCCACTTCAGACACAGGAGACTGCTCAGCTATCTGAATTCTTTCAACGAAAAGTCTCCAGATGAGTTTAAAGGAAAAAAAAAATATTGCTCCAACACCTACTATATTTCATCCCCTTAAATTAGGAACTAAGGTTTGTTTTTTGTTTTGTTTTGTTTTGTTTTTTCCTTGTCTTTAGGCTAACAGCTCTGCCACTCATTCTGCAGGGTAAGGTTATAGGGCGGCTAGCAGGATTAGGACAGCAGAAGAACATTGCCCAAGAAGTTTCATTCGATTCCATTGATTTTTTTTTTTTTTTGGCATCCTGTGTTGTTTTCCCAGCTGGGACACCTGAGTGCCTCTGCGATCAGAGCAGGGCCAGCACTGGAAAGAGAGCCTGTATCATCACTCACTGTTGTCTCCTGCAGAGCATTCCACCAAGGGTGCCTGTCGCTCCCTGAGGCAAGCTGCATAAAACAGCCCCATCAACCTCTCCTTCTATCCTTCAAGGAAACGATTTCAGGGGAGAAAGCATAAGCAAGGAAGTCATTAATATGGCTAAGAGTGAACTTGAGAATTTTGTTTCTGTAGTTGAGAAATTTGTAAATGAAGCTCTCTTCGTAAGATTTCAAATCTCTCTCCCTCTCAAGTCTATATTAGCTTACTTCCCAGAGAGATTTTCTAAAATGCTGAGTGTCTTGAAAAAGAACATGATTATGGGATTTTGACAAAATTGAGATGTTATATTTTGACATTTGCTGCATTCTTATGTATTGGTTCAGGGTTGCATTTCATCTACAGAAAACTGGCAAAATAGTGGGAAGAAATCTGTAATTATAATGTAACTTGTAAGGGTTTTAAAATTTTGACTTAAAATGTGCTTTGATAAAATGAAATTTATTTTTTATAAAACTAGAAGCTAGCTTGTTTTTTCCATGAATCAAACTGATAATTAACTTTTAAAAATCTTAGAATAAGTAACTGTCCTGTTACTTAATGTGATTTTATTTATGAGCCATTCAGAGTTTTCTTTCTCTGTAGGTTTTTATAAAAGACGGCCTATTACTTTCCCTAACAAAAGCTGAGCTGTTTGAAAGGCCAGGACCTGCGAATGATCGTAGTTGTGTATGATTCCACCGTGTGGGTCTGCAGGACTCACTGCGTGTCTTTGCAGTGAGCAGAGGAGCACTAGAGGTAGGCACACTGACTCCTAAATGAGATGGTCTGGGTTTGAATGCTGACCTTGCCACCTGTTAGTGCTACAGTTCTGAACAACTTAGCACCTCTGGCTCCGCTCTGAGATATGCAAAACACAAGTAGAGATGGTACCTACTCTTAAAGTTGTTTTGACAGTTAAATGATTTAACTCTCAGAACATGGCCTGGTACAGAGCCAGTTACCCCCTCTGCCAAGTATTAGCCAATCTTTGATATATTTTGTTTCTTTTTAGCATACTTGAAAAGTTGCTTACCAATCTGGGGTCGATTTCTTCATTAAGAACAGCTTGGTTCTTTATGAGCGCCACTCGTTGTGCAAATCTACAGGTGGATATAGACTCCTAACAAAGTAAAATATTTTCTTAAAACCACTATGACATAGGTATTTCTCTATAGATAAAACTGAATTTTTTATTCATAAGAAAAAAAAGGTGCACACTGAAAGAGTGATGTGCATAAAATATCACAGGAAATATGAGAGTACTTAAAAAAGTCTCCAGAAATTTCAGTTAAAACATGTTTTATGTTGATGCAAAAAATTTGGAATCTGTGTATTTGAAGGGATCTTCAAAAGCTGCATAGAAAACCTGCATTATGTAAAATCTGTGCATGGATTTCAAACATTTTTGCACCGATATAATCTTTTAACTCCATTTCCCACAAACTGTTCAAAGTACCCCACTCAGCTCCCAAATTAGGGAAGTTTGCTCTAGGATGTTATTTTCTGCCAAACTTTGTTATGGTCTGATAACAGTGACCGATGCCAAACATGCGGGAGATCCTGAGGTCTTAACTGGTGACTGGCGTGTGTTTCTAATGATCGATCTGTTAAAGCAGAACCACATATGTAAATCACAATCCTAGTAGATAATCCATGAGCATGAAAGATTACGAAATAAATATTTGCAACAGACCAAAAAAGAGGGACTTTTCAAGGCATCTTAGGGCCAAAGCTTGGCCTTGTCAGAAGTTCTCTGCTGCTTCCCGTTAGCCTCTTTTTGGGGGGGGGGGGTGTTTGGATCACACACATTACACTGTGATGTTTCAAACACCACTTGGTTCTGAAACCAGGCAGGGAAGCCCTTGCCAGAGGCCTCCCGGGTACTCTACTCCCATGACATATCTAGGAATGTATGCCAGGGATACCCAGGGTGTCCATCTCTTTATAATCAGGAGTAGACTGGAGCCGGAAGTGGATGGATGACTTCTCTCCTGTCTCTGGCTGAGAACTACACCATTAGCAGGCTTCCACAACTGGTTTATGAGACCTTCAAGCTGTCCAGCGTCATGTGAAGCCAAGTCTTTAGTGCAGCATTACAATGCCAGCAAATAGCTCCAATCTGTGAATTCAGTAGGGCATTTGCCTCTGAAGGTACACAGAACTCAACCAGGCTACCAGGGATGGAAACCCATGCAACACCCTCAACTTATAAACTTGCAATTACAACTCCAGACTCAGATCTCTAGAAAGAAGAGCCCACATACGTCAATATTCCTTTTCTCCAATGAGAGCGTTGCGATCATAGTTGTCATGCAGTTCCCCCCCAGGCTGTCTCTCAGGACACTGGTCATCATGGAGTTCCTATAGGGTATGTGTGAACGGTGTTTTTCTGAAAGAGCAATGATAACCTGTAGTATGGCAGAAACAGGACAACATTACCTTGGCAGAAAATGCACACACAGTGACTTCACAACAATAAAAATGGAAATAATATCTAGATGGAGGGTGACACCAAAATATTGGGCATAGAATAAATATTTAACAATAATATTTGGCATTAACATGGTAAAGATGGGTTAAAGTAAATGTTACATAAACATAGCATTGCAAAGCTCATAATGTTTGGACAGATGAAAGAACGTGTATAGAATTGGATATATTATTATTCTGTTTCCAGCTGTTGGGACATTTTTATAAAAACATAAGACCTTTTACAATACCTATTTAAAGAGGGGTTTTTTTCCCCTAGAGTATTTGTTTATTTGAAAGTTAGAGTTACTGAGGAAGAGGGAGAGAGGTCTTCTATGCCCTCGTTCATTTTCCAAATGGCCAGGCCAAAGCCAGGGGCTTCAGTTGGGTCTCAGGTATCAGGGACCAAACATTTGGACCATCTTCTGCTGCTCTGTCCAGGGCATTAGCAAGGAGCTGGTTCAGAAGTGGAGCAGCTGAGACTTAAACTGGTGATCATGTGAGATATCTTTGTTGGAGGCAGCAGCTTTATCGACTACACCACACCACCAGTCCCATCCACTTACTTTAATTCTATAAAATTGAGTGATATGTTCCATTTCAAGATAGAAGAAACAGAACAGGAAATAAAAACTATGTGCAGCAGTGGAGGATGGTGGCTGGACCTTAAGATTTCCTTACAAGATTGTCTGGGGGGCCCGGCGCGGTGGCGCAAGTGGTTAAGTCCTTGCCTAGCACGCCCAGGATCCCATATGGGCGCCGGTTCTAATCCCGGCAGCCCCGCTTCCCTTCCAGCTCCCTGCCTGTGGCCTGGGAAAGCAGTCGAGGACAGCCCAAAGCTTTGGGAACCTGCACCCGCGTGGGAGACCCGGAAGAGGCTCCTGGCTTCGGATCGGCATAGTATCGGCCCGTTGCGCTCACTTGGGGAGTGAATCATCGGACGGAAGATCTTCCTCTCTGTCTCTCCTCTCTGTATATCCGCCTTTCCAATGAAAAAATAATAAAAAAATAAATCTTAAAAAAAAAAAAAGATTGTCTGGGAACACATCCTTGTCCTACTAGGGCATAACTCTCAGCATCTCTGCCTCAGACTTTTCATCTGTAAAACAATGATCACAACAATCTCTGCCTCACAGATAGTTAGGATAGTTAAAAAAGTTAAAATGCACCAGTTACTTTGAATTGTAACCAGCCCAGAATAAGTGTTACAAAGGTGTTTTCTATAATTGTAATACCCTGATTCAACCCAAGCTTGTTCAACCTATACTTCTGAGCTTCTTAGGCATTTAAGTGAAGGTAATAGATGGATGAATTTTAAGACAAGATGAAAAGACTGTTGGGGTTGTCTCTAAAGGGCTGAAGACCAGGGGCTCAGAGTTAGCCTGAGAAGATTAATTTAATGTTAGGATGTCCTTTGCAAAGTAACTCGAATTGCATACCCACAGAACTTGACTTTAGGGACATCACAAGATGCTCTCATGAAATTACCTCTGCCAATCTACCTACCTTTGTTCTAGTCCACCCTCCTTCCAGGTGTGACATTCCCATCATCAGATATTCTTACACTCCTTTGTTTCACAAAATAAGATGGCACTACATTCAAGGTTGCTTTGAACAAAACCACATAGCTCTCACTAGTCTTGACTTAAATGCAGGGTCACCAACATTACTACAAACCAGCAAACCTTTGATTTCTCCCTACCCTAAATACTTTTCATTTAAAGAAAAAAAAAGCCTTCCAGGCTTTTTCTTTTGGTATATCCATCTTTTTCTCTACCCAATTTCAATTTGAGCCAGTGACCATCCTCCTGTTAGATATAAGCAAGCCCAATCAGGACTACCTTATTCCTTGGAATCTCTGGGTGCTCTGCCCTTCCTTCCGCTACATTCATTCTCTCCCATGACTGCTCTCGTCTATTTTGCTCCTGGATTCACTCTCCACTCCTCACTACTGCACCAAATTCTTTCATTTGAATTGCTTCCATTCTAGTAATAAACTAAGATGGCTCGCACCAGCATCATCAGCACCTCTTTAATCAGAGGAACATGGATTGCCATTTTGTTAGGTTGTTCAGTCCGTCACTCAACACTGTGCACTAAGAGGTATGGCTAACAATGTGTGCTCAACAAATTCCTGTGACATGAATGAAGAAGATGAATTAGCTCTACAGCTTCTAGGTAAATGAAATTGGGAAGAAAATGGGGAAATGTTGTAAACCCAAGGCTGAGTGGCAAGGGATGCTAACGGAGCTCCAGGCCTTGAAGGCAAAAATGACAAGTTAAATACCTAAAACCTGTGAATAGGACCAGCTCCCATACCAGAGGGTGGCCTGATTGATGTGCAGAGTGGCATTATTATTTATTAATCAGCAACTAAATATCTAACAATTCTTTACTCTGAAATGCTTTCATAGACCAAGTGTCACTAGTTTTATTTTGCTCTAGGAAACAATATTGGTATTTTTTCTTAAAAAAAAAAAGCTCTTTATTTGAAAGGCACAGTGAGAGAACAGGAGGGAGAAAGCGACAGAGTGAGAAAGCTTCCCCATCTGCTGGTTCAATCCTTAAACGGCCACAACAGCGAGGGCTGAGTCAGATGGTAGCCAGGAGCCAGGAGCTTCTTCCGAGTCTCCCACATGGGTTCGGGGCCCAAGCACTTGGGCCATCCCTCACTGTTTCACAAGGCACATCAGCAGGAAGCTGGGTTGGAAGTGGACCAGTGTCTCAGGTGCTGCCTTAACCTAACACCTGCCCCCTTGATATGCTTTCTATTCACAAAGTTATTATGAGTTAGATGACACAAAGAAGGATATACTTCCTATACTTCCTCTTGATATTACTGTAAATGATGTGTTGGTAAATACGCCTCTGATTTAAAAAAAATCAATCATAACTTGCTTAATCTCATTCAGATAAATGTACATCATTATATATATTCATATATATATATTCAATATATTCAAGTGAATATATATATTCAAGTGACACAACACAATGGAACCAAATAGCTTTCAATTACGAAGGGATTTTCTTGGCTACTGTAATCGAAATATAAAGGGCTGCAGGTATGAAATGGCCCCCAAAGTGAGCACCACGACCAAGGAGTCAGTTGTTGTTCACATTCTCTGTTCCACCATCATCCTCGTGGTGGAAGTCAGTTCTCCTCATGGCCACAGTATGGCTGCTAAATCCCATGGCACTACATCTTTATTCATAACCTAGATAAGAAATATTTTTTCCTTCTTTTAACTTATTTTTTATTGAATAGTCAGATTTACAGAGAGAAGGGGAGACACACAGAAAAATCTTCTATCCACTGGTTCATTCCCTGCAACAGCTAGAGCTGAGCCACTGTGAAGCAAGCAGCTTCTTCAGGGTCTCCTACACAGGTGCAGGGTCCCAAGGCTTTAGGCCATCCTCTACTGCTTTCCCAGGCCATCAGCAGGGAGCTGGATGGGAAATGGAGCAGCCAAGACATGAACCTGTGCCCATATGGGATCCTGGCGCTTGCAAGGGAAAATTAGACAATTGAGCCATGATGCTTGGCCTGGGAAGGGTTTTTCTTCTCTAATGATTAAGCAAAAGACCTCAACTTCTTAGGAACCATATGGGCTCTGGGCTTATCCTTGAACCAATCACTGCAGCCAGGAGAAAAGACAAGTTCCAATTTGCTCAGCTCAGGCAGGAGCTGCCCCTGGAGCTGAGATGGGCTCCTGGCTGCTACTCCCTGATATTGATGTTACAGAGGCCATTCCACTGCCCTCTCTGGAGAAGATTCTACAATGGTGAAGAAAAAGAATTAGTCATTTGAATGGGATTGTAAATTAGAAAATAAGGTCTTAAAAACTGAAGAAGACACTACATTATAAGAAAAAGAACCCAGAATTTGCAAGTTAGAATCCAGTCTTCCCCACTGCGTGATCTTATGCAAACTGCTTACATTGTTTTAGCCTGTTTCCTTGTCTGTCAGAGTGGGAATAGAAAGCTTTGTCTTGAAGAACTATTTTAAAGATCAACAGAGATCATTTCTGGTATTTTGCAGGAGGCTTCAAAAGATGCTCTTGGGCCTGGCATTGTGGCCTGGCGGCTAAAGTCTTCACCTTGAATGCACCAGGATCCTATGTGAGTGCCGGTTCTAATCCTGGCAGCTCCACTTCCCATCCAGCTCCCTGCTTGTGGCCTGGGAAAGCAGTCAAGGATGGCCCAAAATCTTGGGACCCTGTACGCACATGGGAGACCCAGAGGAGGTTCCTGGATCCTGGCTTCGGATCGGTGCAGCTCCGGCCGTTGCGCTCACTTGCGGAGTAAATCAGCAGATGGAAGATCTTCCTCTCTGTTTCTACTCCTCTCTGTTTATCTGACTTTCCAATAAAAATAAAATAAATCTTTAAAAAATGCTTTTGAGGAAAACTTTCTGGGGAAGAGTACTGCATGCACAAGGGCTCTTGAAAAACCAAAAATACTTTGGGAAAGAGAAGCAATTTATTTGTGCATTTGACAGGAAACATTTGACTCGAAGAGACTGTACACTTTTTTTTTTCTTTTAAAGATTTATTTATTCTTAAAGTGGCCACAGTGGCCAGAGCTGAGTCAATCTGAAGCCAGGAGCCAGGAGCTCCCACTTGGGTGCAGGGTCCCAAGCCTTTGGGCCATCCTTGACTGCTTTCCCAGGTCACACGCAGGGAACTGGATGGTAAATGGAGCAGGTGAGATATGAACCAGTGCCCATATGGGATCCCGGCATATGCAAAGTGAGGACTTCAGCCACTAGGCTGCACCGGGCCTGAGTCTGTTCACTTTTGAGCAGCTGTGAGGCTCTCACAGTATCAGTCAGTAGGGCAATTCTGATTCTGCACAGTTTCCAGAACCAATGCAGGCTCATTGGTATGAGACATGCCACCAAACTCTTTCACATTCCAACTCTTACATACTAAAATGGAAAGAGGATGGAGTAACAACCAGGAGACATCTATGGGGTTGTAGTATAGCTGTGTCTTACTGGGTGAGGGAATCTGTGTGATCTGCCCTTTTGCAGGATAACAGACACAGCCTCCTTTCCAGAAACACATTTACTCCTACTGCCTGACACATCTCATAGCACCCAGTGGGTGCTCAATCATCATTTGCTGATTAGAGAATGAATGAAACTAGTTAAACTAAACTGTGTTACACTCCCAGTCTCATTAGTCCAATACAGTAGTATATAATTCAATTGTAAAAACGCTTGAATTCTGTTATTTCATTAAGTATCTTATGGTTATTAAAACTATTCTTAGAACATACTTTGGGGCACGGTGGGTTAAGCTGCCACCATCTCCAACACTGACATTCCAGCTGTTTTATTTCTGATCCAGCTCCATGTTAATGAGCTTGAGAAAGCAGCTGAAGATGCTTCAAGTGCTTAGGCCCATCCTACTCACATGGGAGACCGGGATGAAGCTCCTGACCCCTGGTTTTGGCCTGGCCCAGCTCCAGCCATTGTGACCATTTGAAAAGGAGATATAAGATTCTTTTCCAGTCTTTTCTCTGTTACTCTCCTTTTCAAATAAATAAATTAATTAAACATTCTAACTTTTCTGTACTTCTTAGGTCTCTCTTTTATCTTTCTCTGTGGCATTCCCAAACTCTCCTATTGTTCTACCGGCTCTGTGGAGGTTCCTCCTCGACCTACTCAGCCCCCAGCAATCTTCTGCATACATGGTAGTTCTCCCTTAGTTCAATTCTCCCTCCTGCTTTCTAGAATCTCTCCACTGTTGCAGGCCGAGCCTTCTCCTTTCCTGTAGACACTTGGATGTCAGTGTAAACAGCAGCAGTGGTGCAATGGGTTAAACGTAACACAGAGCCAAGGGAATGTGGGAATGTCACTGAGGCCCCAAGTCAACCAATCCCCCTGGACTGGAGTTGGAGGTGACTGGCTCACCCTTCGGTAAGGCCTGAGCCGCTCCAATCCCCATCCTTGTCTTGTTCACGCCTACTCATTCTTGTAGGCTCTGCTTAGCATCACACCCATCCCTCATTGCTCCACCACCAGAGAGCCCTCACTCTTACCTTATCTCACGCTCACCTCCTCTGTCTTAGTCAGCCTCTCATGCCAAGCTCTTCTCAATCCCTGTCCTTTCCTTTCACAGCTGTTACCTAGACTACAGTGGCATACTGAAGGACTGCTTATCTAATCCACATGTCTCTACACACAACCAGGGCATTTTTGGGGCAAAGATGGTTTCTATTTGTTCACCACTATTCCAGGCACAGTGCATAGCACAATATCAGTCCTTATAAATATGTTAGATGAATAAGTAGCAGAAAATCAAATGCCATGTGGCTACCAAGACCACTGGCATGAGACTGATGTTACAATCATTTTGAAGAGATGCAAGTGAGGGTAGGAATAGTTTTTTTGTGACAAGTAGCAGTTTGCAAAAGCCTTATGGCATGGTTAAGAAAAAAAAAAAAGAAAAGAAAGATTAGGGCAGAGAATCATTCTTGAGTGATTACAACTGATGGAAAGTTTGATCCAACTGATGAATATAATTTTGTATGAACAGATGTGAATTAAAACAGTGTTATCATCTAAAACAAGTAGGCACATTTGTTTGAAATAAAGCACTTTGAATACAGCCCATTATGTTTTCATAGCATTGTTCTATAAGAATCCCATTAAGTAAAAAGCTCTGTTAAGTATAAGTAGTGTGCAGTATTGCAGCAAGAAAGAGCTCAGGAATGCTGACTCTTGGCAAAACACTACAATGAACTGGATGTCACGTAGACCCTAATCTCTGGGTTCCACATTATTGGAATCCATTTGGTCTGAGACTAACAGTGTGCTCCTTTATCAGACAGACTCCTCTGGGTTTCTCTCAATCCACTTCTTCAACCAACGTGGCCGCTAGGAAGCATTTATCACCAGGACAACATCAGTCTCAAGAGTTCATTAAGCAGTTTAAAAACTTTTCTTTTGCCTCAATCATTTTAGCCCCCAACACTCATTAACAAGCTCTGCCTTACCAATATTCTCAGTACTTCTCCCCATTGTTTTGTGAACATGTCTTCTCTATCCTTTTAAAAAATAAGGAAAGAAACAAAGAATTTGGAAGTAGGTGTCATCTTTAACAAGACTTTTACTCATAAAGCTGAAAGGCACTTGAAAGATCATTTGATTTAATCCATTCATTTTTAAAAAAGTATTTTTTTTTACTTTTAATATAGTTAACTTCAGATGAGGTTTCTCTAACCTCAGAATGAAATTCTGATAATTAAAAGTAGGGCAATTAAAACTGGTGGATTACAGTCAACTTGGGGGTAGAGAAACAGAACAAAAGCGAAGGTTAAGAAAATGACTGCAGGGTCAAAACTGCTAACTAGATAAAAGCCATTGGAAGCTGAAAATATTGATCATCTACAACTTACGTTCCCACAGTTAATCTATTAACTTGGAAAAACAGGCAACAGGAGTTAATTACTAAGCTATGTTCAATCCCAATACCTCACTTACTCCAATAAAGGCAGTAAGTGAAAAAAGGCACAATAGACTTTAGAGCCAAGCAAACACGGGTTTAACTCCTTGACAGCTGACTAACATTGAGAAGACCATGAGAGGGCTTGAACTTTCAACTCTCTTAGATAAGGGTAACACAATATAGGCTTATTGAGAAGTTTAAATTAAATGGTGTGTACAAAATGTTCATAGATACACCAGTGTTTCTAGTAGCACTACTCACAGCCAATGCATAGGGAATCACTCAAGTGTCCACAAACATATGAATGAATAAAGAAATCAGAGAGCATACATACCATTAAATTATGTATATATGTGTGTATATATTTTACCACGATAAAAGGAAACACAACAAAACAGAATGAAAATCTAGGGGCATGCCTGATATAGTATCTGCCCATTTTACCTGTTCTAAGTAATGCAGTGACAAGTTGATGTACTTGGCCTCCGTTAGAAGCTGTCCCCCTACTCCAGTCTTTGCAACTCGTTCTGAGCCAGCCAGGTCCACCAAATGGAGTTTGGCATGTCGGACAGTTGCAGATCCTGGCTCCTTGCTTGATAAATGAATGGTGAAAATGCAGTGAGAACGGGTTGAAGCTTGATTCATAGGAGTCTATGAAAAAAGAAGTTGAATAAAAACAAATTTAAAAATGAAAGTTATCTAAGAAAATCAAAAGACTTAAATGTTTAATGTAGGACATTTTCCATGAAGGCAATATTCAGGTGGAACAAGACGACTCCAGACTGGGACTAAGTCAATTTTTTTAAAAATGTAAGCTCCTGGGTGGCCAGTAACAAATGTGTTCGGTTGATTCAGAAAGTGAAAAAGAGTTTCTATTGAGGTAGAGGTTAAACGCTCTTACCAACATAATTCTGTATCTTCACTTTAACTAGCTGTATTGAAAATACTAATGTCAATCGCATAGAACAAGAGGGGAGAATTAGTCACCAAGAGCATTCATTGTCCCAACTGTAAATACAATCTACAAGGCCGACATCACACTGCCACTATTCAACACTAAAGTGAAGTTCTAACCAACATGAAAGGCAATTAAAAAAAGACATAATATTAGGAAAAGAAGGGATTAAAATGCAATTATGTTAAGAAACAATGGTAGGGGCCAGTGTTGTGGCACAGCCCATATGTGAGTGCTGGTTCAGGTCCTGTTGGCCTGCTTGGTTTCCAGTCCAGTTCCCTGCTAATGCTTCTGAGAAGACAGCAGAAGATGGCCCAAGTACTGAGATTCCTGCTCATCACAGGGGAGATCTGTATGGAATTCCTGATTCCTCGCTTCAGCACTGCCCACACCTGACCATCATTCCCATTTGGAGAGTGAATCAGCAGGTTAAAAAAAAAATCTGGCTCTCTTCTCCTTATCACTCTGTCATTCAAATAAAGTAAATCTTAAACAAAATAAGAAACCATGGTGGTTTACTCAGAAACTCTAAGAGAATCTACAAATAAACTGTTAGGAATGAAAAAGTTTGTCCATAGAAGGTCTCCCCAAGAGGCCACTGAACTTATCTGGACAATAAGACGCTGAACTTTATGCTAGGCATGTGTTTGCAAGCAATGAATCTCAACTGAACTTGAACTATGGTTATGCAACAAGGTGGAAGAATCCACCATGGGGGGAGGGGTATGGGAGGGGTGGGGGGGATCCCCAGCGCCTATAAAACTGTACTACATTATATAATGTAAGCAACAATAAAAAAAAAAAAAAAGAAAAAGTTTGTCAAGTTGATGGGTGCAAGATCAATACATGAACTCACTGAAGTTCTAATAACCTAGTAATAACGGGTCAAAAAATATGTAAACTATAAGGAAATGTTACATGAAAAAGGGGATCTGAATAGACGGTGTTGTAGATACCAAAATATCATTTCATAAATGAAAAATTAAAAATGCACATATGAATTTCTATATATCTACTTGAATGTGAAATGTAATTGAGAACAAACATGTTACAAACCAATCCTAAAAATTGTCTAGAAAAATCTTCAGATAAAATGAAAAGTAATTCTGTGAAAGAAGGATGAAAGGAATTTGTGCTGACAGATCAAGCTGTGCCATAAAGCCACGGTGTTTACAACACTGGAGCAAGAGGCAAGTAGGTCAGGAGGACATACGTTGCTCACTGAGGAATCATGTTCAGGACATCATGCTACAGAAAGGATGGACTAATAAAATGGTGCTAGAATCACTGGCTTCCTAGCTTGAGAAAAACTAATTGTTTTCCTTTTAAAGTTTTATTTCTTCATTATGTATTTGAAAAGCTGAGAGACAGAAAGGGAGAGAGAGAGAGAGAGAAAGAGAAAGAGAGAGAGAGAGAGAGAAAGAGAGAGAGAGAGGAGAGATATCCTTTATTTATTAACTCCCCAAATGCCTGCAAAAGTGGGGGCTGCATCCGGCCAAAGCTAGGAGCCAAAAACTCCATTCACGTTTCAGGTCTCCCACGTGGGTGCCAAGAACTCAAGTGCAGGTGACATCATCTGCTGCCAGGATGCGCAGTGGCAGGAAGCTCAATAAGAAGTGAGGGGGGCACCCAATCCCAAGCACTCAGATGTATGATCCAGGTTTCTAAGCACTACTTTAACTTGCTGTGCCATAGCATCAGCCCACCAAAAAACAAGTTTGGATTGCTTCCTCACATTACATACACAAATAAATTCTTGAATGGATTAAAGCCATATGTGCAAAGTAACACCATGTTAGCATTAATACAAAAAAATACGGAAACATATTGCAATCTACTCAAGATAGTGATGAATACCATAAGATAGGACAGAAAATAAAATTGATTTCAGCTATCTAGTCAAATAGCTCAAAGGTTTATAACTTCTGTGTGATAAAAAAAAATGAGGAAAATGTTTGCAAAACATATGGGTGACAAAAGATTAATAAGTGAGATAAAGAGCTCCCACAAATTACTAAGAGTTCAGGAGAACAGTGAGCAAAGGATGAGAATAGTTACACCATCCCATCCAGCAGCAGTCTGGCTTTCCACCCGTGGATGTTGTTGAAGAAGCACCACAGAAGCCCCACCTGCCACCCTTGTCATGTCTAAAGCAGAGTCTCTGATGGAACCTGACAGTTTAGGAAGCTCTTACTGGGAGTGCTGCACCGTGCAACCACCGAGGAGTGTCTGCTCAGCCTCTGTGTTTGATGGAGAGCATTCACATACTGTGAGGTGATGAGAGATCCCAATGACCAGGGCTCTGGGAGCTGTGCAACTGCCACCCATGCCATCAGAGAAGCGGTGGTTGGGTGTAGCCATGAAGGCAAGGCCACATAAAGTGGATGCCAGAATTGGTGGGACCAAAGAGGTCCATCTCTAGAGAAACGTCTTAAAGCTCCAGGGGCTCTCCTTGCTGCATGGGTGTTCTTTGCTGATGCCGTGAAGCAAGACGTGGAAGGACATCACCTCAGAGACCATTTGGAACAATGTGAGAAAATTGAAGTGATTCAGATTGAGGCAGTGGAAAGGAGAGGCTTTGCTTTTGTGGCTCCTGGTGACGGTAACTGTATGGAGAAAGATGACCATTCAGAAATACTGCCCTGTGAAAGGTCACAGCTGTGAAGGCAGGGAGGCCTTGGGGAAGCAGGAGAGGGCTGGTGTTTCAGCCACCCATGAAGTTGAAGAGGTTCGGGGAACTTGGGTGGCAGCTGTAAAGATATTTTTTGGTGGCAATGACAACTTTGGCTGTGGAAGAGATTTCAGTGGCTGTGGTGGCTTATGGCAGCAGTGGGGGTGGCTACAATGGTTTTGATAGTGAAGGCTGCAAGGATTCCTTCAATTTTGTATCTGTAAAGGGAGGAAGCTGAAAAGAGCAGCTCTGGCCCCTTTAGTGGGGCCAATGCACCAAACCAAAGTGTCTCTGGAAATTCCAGTAGCAAGAGCAGGCATGGCCGTGGCAGACAGGGTGGGTAATGCCAGGAAACGGAGCATGGCAGGAGGACGAGAGCCAAAGAAGGGTCAGGTTCCAACAGAGTTGTGGAATCAAGCACAGAGCAGGCAGGACCCAGCTGCTGTAGCAAAAACATGCTCCCATGAAAAGGCAGACCATTTCAAGGACTGCATTTGCCACTAATTGTACACCAGGTTCATTTAGTTTCGGGGGAGGCTGTAAAACATTCCTACAACTACAAAGGGTTTTTCTGTAGTTTTTTAATCTTTTTTTTTTTTTTTTTTTGGTAACCATGCTAGCTACTGACTGCTAAATGTAACAGTCTAATACTGCTGCTGAATAACATGCATCTTTTAAAGAGCAAGGGAAAAAAATCTAAAACTCATCCATAATCAGGACCATATAACTTACAATCTTAAAATTAAACCATTTTACACCCATCAGATTGGCAACATTAAAAAAAAGAAGTTAAGTCTAACACAACAGATGTTGTTGAGGGCATAAGGAAGTGGAAACTTACATATACTCCTTGTGGGAATATAAATTTAGAAGTATGAAATTTAACAATATGTGGCAAAACTGTTAGCCCTATCCCACAAAAGGCATAATTTCCTAGAGAGAACGCTTGGGCAGGTGCACCACTGTGAGACATGCACAAGGACATTTACTGCCATGCTATCTGGAACAGCAGGAAGTTGCTGTAGGCTGTACAACTCAACTGGACGTCTGGTGATAGCAAAAAACTAATAAATTGAGATAATCCAAACTATAGGGAAGTTAAAATGAGGCAATTTTTGGATAGATTAGCATGGATAGATTTCTAAAATAGAATGCGAGCAAAATAGCAAGTTGAGGAATGATATGAATGTTATGACAGAATTTATATAGCATATTTTTTTAAATAAAGCACTATAATTAATTGTTCATGGAGCTATAACTTAGGTTAGTAAAAGTGTTTTGGACATCGGGTGTCTGTTCCCCCTCCCCTAATACTGAGGCAGTTAGGAGGTTGGATGTGGCTTCGCCCCCTGTCTCCTCCCTCACTCCATACAGGAAGAAGAAAAAGAAAATGCGGAAACAATAGTCTCATTCACTTTCCCCTAATTCTTGTCCCTTCCCACCCTAATCAACTATGTAAACATAATAATAAAAAAGTGGATTTTTTTTTATAAAGATTCACCCACTTTTATTGGAAAGACAGATTCACAGTGAGAAAGATCCTTCATCCATTGGTTCACTCACTGTGACTGCAATGGCTGGAGTTGAGCTGACCCAAAGCCAGGAGTCTCTCCTGGGTCTCCCATGTGGGTTCAGGGTCCCAAAAATTTGGGCTATCCTCCTCTACCTCCCCATCCTCCTCTACCTCCTCCTCTACCTCCCCAGCACAAACAGGGGAGCTGGGTGGGAAGTGGAGCAGCCAGATCAAAGAAGGGTCTACAAATTATTGACAGTGGTTCCCATTGTGAGGGATGGAAGTAAATAGCCAATCTAGGTACTTCTGCTTTACCCGCAATACTCTTATTTTATTTTGTAATCAACAGAATCAAAGTTGGGGGTTGTAAAACCATGAGAATCGGTCACATTATTCTCCGTCCTTTTTTGTTTTTATTTATTTATTTAGTTAGTTGCAAGAAAGAACTGAACCTGAGCCAAGATGTAAGTGATGAGCTAGCAGTATCGTCTTCTCAAACAATGAAACTCTAA